TATTTTTCTAATGGGGCTATTGACATGAAATTTACACCAGATGTCGGTAACTACCACAAGTAATCCACATGTACAAAGAAATCAAAACAAATAAGTCCATGAATTAAGTTATGTGTAATATAGTGAAATGACAAAGGGAAGAAGTATTAAACACATGAAGGATAGGGGCTGCAAAAAGGCAAGAAAGCAGCAGAAATATGTCAGTATTTAGAAAGCAATTCTGCCCCCATCAGTACAAATTAATATCAGCTGGTTTAGTCACAATTGATAGTCTATAAAAGGTTTCTCACTATAAAGGTGTCACACAAGAAGCATCTTGTGATGGATAAAAGCAAAGAGCTCACTCAAGACCTTCGCAACATGATTGTTGCAAAACATACTGATGGCATAGGTTACAGGTGTATTTCTAAACTTCTAAATGTTCCAGTGAGCACCATTGGAGCTATAATCCAGAAGTGGAAAGAACATCATTTCACCATAAACCAGCCACAACCAGGTGCTCCTCACGAGATTTCAAAATAATCAGAAGAGCTGTTCCGGAGCCAAGGACCACTCTCGGGCAGCTTCAGAAAGACCTGGAATTAGCAGGTATAGTGTCAAAGAAAACATTAACTAATGCACTCGACCACCATGGCCTCTATGCATGCTCACCATGCAAGACTCCATTGCTGAAGAAAAAACATGTTGAAGCACGTTTAAAGTTCGCTGGACAAGCCAATGGAATACTGGGAGAATAGAGTCTGGAATATAATCATTGTCAGCAAGACAATGATCTCAAACACACAGTCAAGGAAACTCAATTGGTTTCAGAGAAAGAGAATAAGCTGTTAGAATGGCCCAGCCAATCACCTGATTTGAATCCAATTGAAAAACTTATGGAAAGAACTGAACCGGAACATTCAAAATTTGAAGATAGTTTGTGTGGAACAATGGGCCAAAATCACACCTGAGTAATGCATGTGTCTAGTTTCTCCATACAGGAGGCGTCTTGAATCTGTCGTTACCAATACTTATTCAATACTTATTTTCCCTGCTGTATGTTAACCCAATTATCCTGGCATCTGCCTGTTAGACTACTAATATGACAGAGCAAATATATGCATCATTCACTGACTTTCTCAGTAAATAACTTTTTAAATCATCTTTTTTAGAAATAATCACATTATACTGATGAGCCTCATTCAAAACAGCAAGAGGAAGTTGCAATATTAACTGTGCAAACAAACCAGAAGAAATAAAAACATGTTTTTTAAATACTGCATGTGCTTAAGATGAAATATGTCACAAGATTCCTAAACACAAAAGCCATGCACTCATTTGAAGGGCATTCCTTTCCCATTATAAAACTCAGTTTGAAATCATGGAAGAAATTATTTCTCAAGTTTGTGAAAAGACAACTAACTACTAAAAAACAAATGAAATTTTTTATTATGTAATGCAAAAACATTTACATAACACTGTGTAACTCTGTAACAGTGTTGGATACAAAAGTCATTGGATGGTAGACCCTGACTTGTACTGGCATCGTTAAAGCAGAGCACCAAATGGAAGAGTGGCACAGAGAGTACAACCTGCACTTCTTTGCATCCAAGACAAGAGCAGAGAGGTTTGTGTTTTCACTTACATTTGCATGCAAGTTCAACAGGACCACTGCCGTAGCACTGACGTAGTTTTAAGTGTAACCTCTGCATTCTTACAGTGATGTATTCTTACACACAAAGCACACACTATTTCTTCTGGGTGCACTTTCTGCTTGGGCCAGGGCGGGTCGCAGAGGGACACAGTGCCTCCTTTCAGGACTGTGCATACCCAGCAGGTCTGTGTGAAGGGGGTTTTTCATTGGGAACGCCAGACAGATTCCATGGTGAGAGTTTGCATGCCAAACCTGCTGTTGGCACCATGCAAACCCTGTTTATTTCCTGCTGAACTCGACCCTTCTCCCCCCAGCCAAACAGATCTGCAGGTGCGCCCCAACCCCCAAGCAACATATATTTACGGCATTGTTGCAAACATTTATTATGTTTTCCAAGCAGACAGTGAAAGAAAAGTAGCTGAAACCTTCATTAAAGGCTTGATAACCAACTCATACAGTAAACAGTTGCAACGTGTCATTCCCATTGATAAATACAGAGAAGTTTTTGCCAAGTGTCTAGGTCAAGAGAGATATTGTCTTTTAACCTGTAAATTTCCATCATATTCTGTAATTACAAATAATGAGCTGGATCACAAGATTTCCCATAATTGAATTTAAGAGAAATGCGTCAACTTCAGCATGTCTGTCAGGCTGCATTATGGTCCGCATGCATGCATCTCGGACTTAGGGTGTTATCTCTGGAGTGGATGTCTAGCACAACAAAAACAATGTGGTCTAACTAAAAGGAGACCCTGATGGCTGAACTGGCAGACATCAGGACAGATTTATTGGTGTTTCAATGCTGAGGCTGCAGTGTCTTCTTCCAGATATAAACAGATAAAATGTGTAACATTTTATTGTTTGGCGTATAAGTTTAAGATCACTGAAGCAAGTTTAGACAATTTGCCAATAAATCCCATATAGCTTCACCTTAAAAGTACATTCAGACATAGACAGAGATGTAACCTAAACAAAATTCAAAGTTCTCTTGGCAAATTGCCCAGAAACAGCTGCTGAAATTTTTATATGTCAGTAAGGAAGTAGTGGTTGGGCTTACTTCCATATATGAGGCCAAGAGTAATCTTAGGAATTTGCTGAAGGTAACTGCACCCTCCTAACATCTTTTCAGATGTTCGTGCAACATCTGATACTTATAAACATCTTCTAATTGCCGATCCTGGTCAAGGTCATGAAGGGGTCTGGAGACTATCCCAGACAGCACAGGGACCAAAGCTATCCAAGGCAAGCTGAAGAACCCACATAACACAGAGAGAACAGGCAAACTCCACCTACAGAGCGGAGATGGGACTCAAATCCCCACTGAGCATCCATGGCACTTGCTGAACTGGCATAACATGGTAAGGAAACGCATGTCGATAAGCGCAGGAATGTGGATTCAGTCAGAGCTCCATCATGCATGTGCTCCACCACAAGTGGCACCTGGTTGAAGATGACCTTGGTGGACATGGAGAGTTCCTAGCCTGGGCAATTCTTGCAAACACAGGTATAAAAAAAAATCTAAAAAATAAAACTCAATTACTATAATTCTCTAGCAAATGTCACACATATTAAATACCGTAATAAGACATAGAACAGGTTAAATGAAATGAATTCTTTACATCTGTATGAAGCACTACACTAATTAGAATAGATGCATTCTTGGCCCAATACACACTAGAACTGGGAAGATGTGGCGACCTGCCTTGTCTTTTTATGCCTGCATGCACTTCATATACTTCAGATGCTTGGCATCAGCATGATCCGTAAACAATGTCCATGGTGGGGATTTTTTTTTTTACATAAGTACAGACTTTCGTAAGCCAAATTTACATAAAGCCGAAGTTTTGTCTCTACGCAGATTTGTCTAATGTGCAAAAGGGATTGGTTACATCCACCCAGCATTGGGCATTAAAAAGATATGTGGGAAGTTTTAGTCTTTTGATCCAATTCTGGTGATCTTGTCAAGAAGATGCTTTGATATGCTCCCTCAGCAGGAGGCAGTGTTTGAAGCTCTGCTGGATAAGAGACTATCACTGCACCTGAAGTCGCCATGGCGGTAATAGGACCAGGTGGGGAAAAGGCTATAGGAGTCGATAAAATCCATTTGGGGTTTTTGAACGCACTGAATGTTAATAGGTTGAAATGGCTGACATGCATTTCAGTGCTGCATAAATGGTGGGTAAAGTGTCTGTAGACTGTTTAACATCAGTGGTAGCTTCTACTTAAAAAGGAGGGACTAGAGGGTGTGTTCCAGCTACATAATGAACATTATATCTGTCTCATCATGGAAAAAAACAAAGAAGAACCGGCAAAGAGCAAAGATGTGGAGATGGAATAAAGAGTGCAGAAAGACATCTGACAATAGATGTGGTAGCAGATGTGTACATCAAAATTGCGTTTAACAAGAAAAGATTGCTGGGTTTGAGTAGATCCAGTGAAGTGCATGATTTACAGCTTTTCATTGTAAAACAGCTTATGTCAGGGTCTTCGTTGTGCAAAATTACAATGATCTCCATGTCCAATTTCAGTCTATTTGGACAAACGGCAAAGAGGTTACATCAATGAACCGACTACAGCCATACAGTACATACAAAAACACAGAGATAAACTTTCAAGATTGAAAGGTCTGTATTTGCAGAATTAATTCTGCGTTTACAAGGGGATATGCTTTTATCCATGTTTGCTTGAATAAAATTTGAATTAAGGTATATAGTTCCAGTGTTAAGCCTCTAAAAACAGTGTGTTCAGTCTTACTAGTTTGCCTCACCTGTGTACTTATGTGTGTTCACCTGAAAACAAACTTAGACACAGAGTGTTACAAACTGGTCTGTTCTGCAACGTCAGTGAAAAGGCAGGATAAGACATCACCTCACTAAATTAACCTGTGCATTTAGTGACCTAAATGAGTACTAGCCTCCCTCAATCACATCATCCTCCAACTATGACAGAGGACTGAAATTATGCTAATTACATATAAATACATAGTGGCTACATATTTTTACTATGTGGTCAAACTTTGCTGAAGAAATTGATTTTCTGTACAAGATGAAGATTTTCTGCAGTTTATTGATAATGACAGGAATTTCTAATAGATATTTAAGGTGTTAGAGGGATACTATGATCTTTATCTGACACTACAATTCCACATCCTGCAGTGACTGATACACTAAAGTTTACTCTTGCAGGAATGGCAACCGAAATGTGTAACCTGAAAGCAAAATGTTTACTAGTAGCTGCAGTATGATTACAGTACGTTGTGTTGAACCTGTTAAACATAGAAAAAAATGTGCACAGGATTCTGTTAAACACAGAAAAGTTCCAAACAAACTTGTATAGTAAACATATATAGTACCAAAAATGAAATTACCATTTTGCTAAATTGTTGCTGCCGTCTTGTCCAAAGTGGTCATCCTTCTCTGTCTTAGTTATGTTCCTTGGGGATTTATTAGTCCAGTGTCCATCTTGTGCAAGACCAAAGACATATTTAACTATAATGAAAACTCCAGGGTAGAGCAGGGAGGTGTCACACCCTCCCCAGGCGAGCCCCCATGGTATTACAGCACTCCGTTGTGTTTAGAGCAGACCAGCACTGCGTGGTCACCACTTGTATCGCCACTCTTACTACACACCATGTTATTCAGCCAATGAGCAGCAGTAGAGCATGTCTGCAAGTGCATATTGAAGGGTGAGACAGGGGGAGAGGAAGGGAGTGAGAGAAAGAGAGGGGGAGAGCGAGAGACGGAGGGGGGGCTTTCAGAGGAAATCCCCTTAACCCTTTTTAGTCTTTTCCAAGCAGCAACTCGAGACCTCTCTCTCTTTCCCTTGCTCTCTCTCTCACTACTTTCCCTTGCTCTCTCCCACTCTCACACACACTCCCCAATTCCCAACTGTGTCGACGCCGAAGCGAAATCTGAAACCATCTGCCACGCCCACATCCAGCAGCCCCCACTCCAGCCATTCCTTTGTGGGGAGCGTCTGTCTCACAGGAGCCCTCCGCCATTCCAGGGGCTCATTCACCACCTTGCCCCTACGCCACTTTGGCTACACAGTAACAAGCTTCGTGCGTGACTCCAGTGTCCATCGAAACATGCTCAGGGCCCTTCAGTACTTCTGAGTGTGTGAGGGAGTAATGAGACAATTCTTTCCCAGACCATCAAATTCGTGAGAAATAAGTTTGGAGCTCCGGGGGGTCTTATTTATGGCCTATGATTATGAAAGACATTGTTATAGATGGTCCAGCACCAGCAATAACATTAATTGGGGGGGGGGGGTTTTACAATTTAGACACTAGTTACGAGGCATGTGGTGATGAGAAATGTGTGAGGAAGGGTTCTGACTGCGTTTAATCCCTTGTGACCCCCCCTAAAAGAAATATATAGGAATTTGCTGTGGCATGTAAGGGTGAAAGTTGTGACAGTGTAGAGATGACTGGAGCACGGTAACATTAATGGTTAAAATATAGTTAAAAAAACACACACACGCATACATACATCTGCTTCAGGCTGGTGACTATATCGCTGTCTCTTTAGCTATTCATGTAAACTGTGTGCTGAATCCGCTCTCTTTCAGGCTGTATGTTGACTTTAGATACACACAGCACCATAGAAAAGAGGTCTACAGTACAACCATTCCCAGTCAACTTCTTTTGCAGTAAGATATTAATACTTTCAGTTTTCAGGTGTCTGTATGGTTCATACATTTCTGTTTTTGCATTGTGTATCATTTTTATTCAACCAAACAAGCCACTCAGATTCACTCAGTAGTCACCTAAATCAAGAATATTGAAACAGGGTTGATGGAGAGACTTAGATTAATGTACCCATTTCTTCCTAGTTTTGTAAAATCAGTACTGGGGTGCTATCCAATTCTTGACCCACCACACGATTGCTGCAGTTTGATCACGAGACTTGGTCAGAAAGGACAGCCTGTGTCCTCCATGGTGTCCAGATGTAGCCTTTAGTTTACGCATCATAAGGCAGATGTTCCTTCTCCCCCACAAAGTGAAAACAAGAGGCAGATGCTATAGATCTTGGCTCTCTGCAAGCACAAGAAGCTACAGCAGTGCTCAGCTGCATAAGGCGATGGGGGCTTGTGTGACCAGAGGGAGGTCACTGGATTTCCAAGAACACTGAATTCTGGGATAGCTGTGGGTGGCCACCAGTGTGATGCCCCCAGTAATGGGACGGATATGCAGGAGGGAGCTCAACTACATGCACTGGCCAAACTGACTGGAGAAGTGGCCACCCATTTTTAACCTAATTAATTCTATGTTATGTGAGAATTAAGATGGCAAACACGAAAATCAGTCCCATCAGATTATTGAGAGGCAAGTGGAAGAAAATGCAGGACAGTAAAATCTGCCTTTGGAAAACTCCAAAAACAGGAAATTTTGTGACAGTCAGCCCTGTGCCAGAAAGCTAAGTGAAAAACAAAAATGAGTGACAAATGACACCTGTCTTCCATTGTCCCCCTCCTAGCTATTACACAATGAGTCCTACTGAACAAACATGAAGCATTTTCCATGCTGGCCTGGCCAAATAACCTCAGTTTATGACATTGTGTCTGTAAATCATACACAGTCACTTGCGGCATATTAGAAGAAAAGAAAGACATAATACCCCCCACACCCCCCAGGAAGTGCAGAGATAACGCATTCTCTGGAAATTACGTGTAACAAAGCTCTCCATTTTCATTTATGGGTCCTTGCCCTCTCCATGAGACATTCCGTGGGGCCCCTATTGCTCTGATACAACCTGTTTAGTCTGCTGGCTGAGTTATCTGGTGGGTCATTTGCAGAATCAGTCACAATATGCAAATATAGGTCCCAGACAGGAAGTCACCCCAGTCAGACCTATTAGGACTGCAGCTGGATTACTTCATCACTTGTTTGTTTTTCTGTAACTGCTACACATACAACAGAGCCGCACAATGTCTGTTATTAATATGGACATTGCATGATATACACATGCAGTTCTCATATAGCAAGAAGTGCAATAGGCAGCCGGGTTAACTCAATAATTTGAGTTTTTTTACAAGTCATGTATTTTTAATTATGTTTCTTTTCACCATTATGGAGTATATGTTAACAAAACACTCTACTGCCGCTGCTTTTGCATGAGCTCTGCAAGCACTCTCTAAGCCAATCGTAATCATTTCCATCCTTGCTGTTGGACTCACTCATAGATAGTTTGGCGCATTTGTGAGATATTTAACAAAAATGCGTGAGGAGAAAAATGAACAATTGGTCATTAATAGAAATTCACCTTCTGCTGTATGGAAATATTTTGTATCCCGTAGAGACGATATTGAACAAAACCAATCAGCGTGTTGGCACTGCTTTCTGTCTGTTGACACAACCCACAGCAACACTACAGACTAGTCTGACCAACCCTGTTTGTACATGATACGTTTGATTTAGCTAAACTTTATTTCAGGTAAATAAACTTTATTTCAGGTAAGTTTCAACGTTTGTTTTATAAATACTGCAATATTAATAGTGAGCATTTCAAACATCACAATGTAGTTTCTTTTTGTGCAGCCCTATCATGCAATATTTCATACAAGGGACCAACAGAGACCCACAGCATTTATAAGGTCCTAAATACTCAGATGATAAAATCATTACAATTCATTGATAAATGAAAAAGCAGCCAGCTGGTTTACAGTAAAGGTTATTGTTCTCTGTAAGGGGGCGAGCCTGAAATGCAGAGAGATCGCATGAATTAGTTACTTCTAGCTATCAACTTTGAGTGCCTCACTTAGACACATAATCACTGAAAATAATCACTTAAGGTATTTATTTTTCCAGAAAAGTGAAGGAAACCAAAAAGCCCTCCAGGTGATGAAATTAAACATGCTATTTAATATTTAGTGGGAATAATGAAATGTTTTTGCTGGCTGATCTGTTATCCGCTATGATCCTTCACATCTACAGAAAATCTACAAATTCGTCATAAAAATAACAGTGTATATGAAACGTATAAGACTGCTCTGATTGAAAGTCTTACCTTTTACTGCCAGAAATGCAGTCTTACGCTTTGAAAACTCCACTGTTGACAGTGCCGCAAAGTGCTTTTGGCTCATGAGTAAAGGGAGCTTTGGAAGATGAAAGAGTGCCCCCCCCCCAAGCCGTGCTGATCACCCCTGGCACCCCCAACAACACACAGCATGTGGCTCTCCTACTGAGAAACACCACATGGGCTGCATTTTTGCTGGCCTGACTGACAGGCAGGAACCTTTTCTTCAAACATGAGACTGGCTCCTCGACAGGGAAAGCAGGGCCAGGGCTGTTTGAACATCAGTGGCCCCCGACGTTTTGTGGCTTTTGCTCAACATGGTTGGAGGTCAGCGGGGCTTTAACATTCAGCTTTGGCATTATTTATTTATCATATTGCACTCATTCAAAGTACAATGTCCCACCCCCCACTTACAAATCCTGTCCCCAAGCGTAACAGCTGACTTGCCATTACAGGAGGAACTTTCTCAGTGTCTCCAGCCATAGACAAAAACACAAGTCTGCTTCTGTGTTAAGGAAAGTGGTTTTATTTATTATGACAAATAAAAAATTCAATCTGTGGATAATATTAAGTTTGAGTATCCATCTTTTAAAGCATGTTTGTTCGGACTAGGGCTGAAAAAAAATGTGTATTGTGTGATTGATTAGCTAATGAATTAGTTGAACACTAAACAGGGTTTAAAGAAAGGTACATATGCTTTAAAAAACTGTATTTTTTACGTCACAATTGTAATTGCGTAATTATAATAAAAGCTATTGTAATAACAGTGTAGAAAATCTCCATTTAAAGTGATAAAATGGCATAGAACCAAAGATGTACTGTCTCTGCCTTACTAAGCTTGTGCAAACCATGACTATCCTCATCCACGGACAAATGTATTTCGTAACAGAAGACACAGACCGTAACGGCACACAGAAGTGAAGTATGAACTAGGCGTAACACACTAACATTAATGTTGCTAGGTACTGATGTCATTATACATCATTTGCGCAGCAAACCACAAAAATTCGACCACTTGATGACAAAATTCATTGTTAATTTTTATTGCCGATTATTATTGATGTTATTGCTTAGTTGTCGCAGTCATAGTTCAGAAAATGTGAAAACTATTGTGCTGGAGGAGAATAATACATAACAGAACTGCCAGTGTGGAAATCTTGAAGCTCAGCAGTCTGCTTGTTTGTTTAAAAAGCTGTAAAACTAATTCTGGCTTTGGCAGGTCATGCTGGGCCCACAGCAAACTGAGGCATCAGCAGTGCGTTTTGAGACACACCCTAATTTTTGGGAAGGGAATGGCTACTTCCCATCTAAGGACTGGAGACAGCCAGAAGTGTAAAATTTTCTTCCACCCTACACACATCAAGCATGTAGCTGCATAACAGACCGCTCATCAAACTGCGCTTATTCTAAACAAAAATCGCTAAGCTGGGACCTCTGTGTCTGAAGTCAACTGATCTGGAATCAGCTACAAGACACAATATGAAAAGCTGCTCTCATAGGGAAAAAGCTTAGCAAAAAAAAAGCAGTTGAAATGCATCTGTGCTTTTTAAAATTAAAATGCTTGAATGTAACAGCTTAACAATATTGGCAAATGATAGTGACAGTGTTGAACAAAAAGCCTGATCTCAGATGGAAGCCTGAGTTAAAGATAAAAAAAAACTTGATGGGCTTTATTGTTCCTCAGAAAAATCAAGTGTTGTCTTGTGATTGTAAAAAGCATCTATCCATCCATTTTCTGTAACCACTTATCCTATTGAGGGTCATGGGCGTCCAGACTCGATGGGCACAAAGC